CACACACACACACACACACACTTGTTCTTATTTGACCTTTTATCACAGTTCTGGTTTTGTTTATATAATAAATATTACTTTATAACTGTTTTAAACCAAATAATATCTGAGACAAAAATTCTTACTGTTATGTCTTTGTGAACACGAGCAAATAAAGTTACACAGCTAATAAATCGATGTGACAACCTCCCCTCTAAGAGCTGCTGCAGTGAGCCAAGTGAATGTGGAGATGAATCAGGACAAATAATAACAAAATGTCTGTCAGGGCAACAAACAGGACTGAGTTCAGGATGAGAGAGGAAATGGTTTTATGGTTTTGTAACGGATATATTTCTGTGAAGATGTTTGAAAATTAAACAAAAAGAAAGGTCTCCTCAGATAGGAAAAGCAAAACAAATAACAGGAATCAGAGGACATGAACGAGCAATGTGAGAACAATAAATAAATAAATAAATAAATCAAAGTTGATAAAATGCAGTTGTCATGGAAACGTGGACTAATCTCCATGTGAATCCTGCCTGAAACAGCAGAGAGGAGCTCTTCTGTTACTCTGCCTTTTGCTCTCCTCTGAGAGGTCTGATGTCCTCCGGAACACAGCGACGTCACACTGGTTACAATTTGGAGCCAACAAGGTCCGTGTTAGGAAACAAACTGAAAACTGTCTGATAGTCCCGTTAAATCTGTCTCTGATAAATACAACAAAACTTTGACTCAAACTCTTCAGGGACACAGTGGATTTTTACACCAGGTCATGAAACTGGGGTTAAGGGGGAGATGCAGACATTTTCTGAGTCTTTACTTCAAAACGATAAAAGTCAACTATTTATCCTGAAAGTTTTCATGATTGATTTATTGATGTCTTTATTGTCATTGTACAGAGCASAATGAAATTACATTTGAAAACACCCATTTGAGAAGACACACATGACAAAAACATGGGGAAACAGATGAACAGGTCATGTGGCAACCAGCAGGGGTCGCACTACCTTTAAAAAGAAAAACAAAAGTGCCACACAAGGGTAGATGAGGAAAAGGTGTGAGATATGACTTTAAATGTTACCAATAATGACTCCATCCATCCATCCATCCATCCATCCATCCATCCATCCATCCATCCATCCATCTATCCACAAGACAACAAAACACGCTCGTATAAAAACTTTACTTCGTAAATCAGAGAAATGTGGATAAAGTAAGTTTTTTTTTGTTTTCCTGACTAGGTATCACTTAATACAGCTGTGTTTGTAATATGTTCCTTTACTTTTTTTAAAACAACTTTTGTGATTATAAATACATTCTTAAATATCAAATCAAGCTAAGAAGAAAACCTTAAAAGCTGATGAGGTACACTGCTCTGATTTTTCCTCTTTGGATCTCTGAATTCTCCGTCCCCGCCTCGTGTACTCGGAAAAGAAAAAGGAACAATTAAACCCAAGAATCATTCCTATAATCAAGAAATTACCTCTGAATTCTGCATGATATTAAAGTCTAATGATAATAWGAAGCCGTTTGTTTTGTGGTTAAACTTTAAATTCAGCTTTATGTGATAGAAGTGGACAGTTATTTAGCTGGATAAAWGCTCAGACTGGCATCCTATGATGGCGTTGATGAATGATTGTGAAAACAGAAATATAAAGTGACAAAATTCCATCTGAGTTCAGATTTAATTTCCTTTTCAGAAGAAACAAAAACACACAACCTTGAACATCTCGGTGCCTCTGAGGTCAGAGGGTTGCTGATGTTTTTCACCAAAGAATATCTGAGACTTTTATTAAATGTCAGCTCAAAAAGATGTTCCTTCAACTCTTATTTGTATTCAAAAAGCATAAAAAGATTGTGTTCTCAGATGTCAGTGATGTCACTCCTCATTTATCAAGTAAAACACATGAAAAGAACGTACACACATTCTGTCGGTATCTCAGCTGAAGTGAGTTTCAGAATCTTGGTTGGTGGGAAATTGAAGGTTTAAAGTAAAGTTTAGGTAAATATCCAGAATATTTGGACAAATGAACAAACGACCAAGGAGCAGCTGGTGAAATAAGACAGAAAAGTGAGAAACTTACTGCTGAGAGGAATCTGCTTTTTGCTTTCAGGAACATCTGAAAGTGTGAAAAATCTTTGTTTAATAGTCAACACCATAATGATAATTTGACAGGTTTTAGTTTCTGTGACTCTCAGAGAAAGCTGGTGATTTTCTGTCTTTCTGACWGTGGAGTGGATAATTACATCTGATCTTTGTCTCTTTGTTGTTTCTTTTCAACACTCCTTGTTTTCTCATGGGAGTACCATTTGTGTTTATAAAATGTTAGTGTAGGTAATGTGCTTTGAGCCTTTGTCTGCTTGTCTATGTATGTGCCTGGTTTTTTTTTTTTTTTAACATTTTAGGACCATTTCTGATATAAACACCTACTTTGTCAGGACCAGTAGTTCCTCTGGGGACCAAAGCCTGGTCTTAATATAGTGGAACACCATTTTTGTGTCAGGGGTTATGTTTTGGACTAAGATATGTTTGAGGGCGGGTCAGGGTTAGGTTACAAAAATGACTGGAAAKGAATAGTCAATGCACAGTCCTAAAAAGGATAGAAATACAAACTTGCATGTGTGTTGGTGCATGTGTGCGTGTGTTTGTGTGTTGGTGCTGTGTTTGTGAGTGTACTGCTCGTGTCTCTTCCGTCTCATTTCACACCTGCCTGGCACCCAGCCTGCACCTTCACTCYGGATTATTGCAGAGCTCCAGCGACCCTGAAGGAGGTCAGGCAGTGACTCTAACGATGATGACAGGAGCTCAGTTAATGAGATGAAACGAAAGTCTCTCATGTCCAACTTAAAAAAATTTGTAAAATGTAAAATCAAATCGGCTCTGAAAATGTCTGATGCTCTCGTGTCATTTTTGGTGTTTCTGCACCTGGATTTAAAACCTGAACAGTTTTGGGTTTAGTTGCATGTTGTTGTATAAAACTTTCTGCCAATGAGGGATCAAGATCAAATCTGTTTGCTGCAGGACAGATTGTGAGGTGATTAGCTTCTTGATCCTTTGCACAGACGTTAAAAGTTCAGTCATTAAGTCTGAGAGACACAAAACAGCCAGATCATGACATTACAACTTGTGTATAATAATGACTCACATTTGTTTATCATAGTTGTCTGAAAAATGACCCAAGAACAAAACTACCCATACAGCAACATTTGTCTGGCCCAGCTAACAGTCATAGCTCAAAGAGTGACGGTCCTTTGGCGGCCCAGATGTTGTTTGCCAGAGGTGGTCCAGTTGTCGCATCTTTGAAACAGTACCATCATTGCCACACCTGGCCCAAATTTGGTTAACAAATGACTTGTCGTACCCTGACACCAGATCTGGCTCACAACTGTCTGCTATGACCAACGCTCTGCTGAACTCCTGCCTCACAAACCTGCTTTAACATGCCTCCCGTTTACATTAAATCAAACACAACATTCTGACTGCAGGTAGGAGCCTGATTTTCTCGTAAAACCCCACAGCTGTGACTACAAGCCAAAGTTCAYTTCATGGTTTCAATCTCCACAAAATGCAGATGAGAGGTACTCAGAGCAGACTTATGTAAATCAGTTATATAACCCAATAAAAAGCAATCTGGGAATAAACTCCTGCTTTTAGCTCTTAAAAAAGGCAATTACAACTGATGCTTTTGGTCAAAATGAACACATAAAACAGGGTATTTTAATTTCCCAACAATGAATAACTTTCATTTTCAGTAACACTTTTAATTTTCAAACTGATTTTGTTTTGCGGTTAGTTCAACAAATGGTAAAACTATCTCATGCTACCCTAATCAAATCAAGCATATTTTASGAGAATGTTTTTGGATTTTTGCAAAGAATGTATATTAGTGAAATAACAAAAGAGGAATAATAACACATTTATTAGTAAAATGATGTTGCAGTAGTTCAAACATTTTAAATGAAATAAAAATGATTATGCAATTGGCACTAAAATATTTGAGCCTTTCTAATTAAATTGTCCTTACTGAGCAAAATAATTAAAAACAGGAAAAAATAAAAGCCAGTTGTGGAYTTTATCTTTGGTTCTTGTGAAGGAGTTCAAGTATCACGAAAGGATGGAAATTGCTACACCCCCTCTTTTTGAAAAAAGGGACATTAACACAACAACCACAATAAATTGACAAGAGCTCTTGAAAAGGCGGGAAAGGTTTCATTTGTGATTTTTTTTTCAACATAAAAAAATGTCTGCACAAAATGCAGATTTGYACCGAAACAAGCAAAACAAACAGGTCTTAACTGATGCTTGTTCTACTTGTTTATCTAACAGAGAGGTTCACCAAGAACATTACAAAGATGGCACCAACCTTACCTGAAATTACCTTACATGTGGAAA